CAACCATGAAAATCAAAACATCAACAACAGTGATAGTAATATTAATAATAAAACAATATTCAGTGCAAAGTAGCCTACAAATGCTTTGATGGGGGCGGCAAGGGACCTGGATAACGGATAGGGGGCGCTGGCATAAAAAAAGGTTGAGAAACACTGTGATAGAGGAATAAAAAGTACCTCATATTATGCTGGTGAATTAACGGTATTGCAGGTAGGTGGCGCTCTGAGCCGTTTGTCCTTCCTTCTCGCTCTCTGGTAGTACTTCCGGGTCCTGATGTTTACAGTGGGAGCAGCTTAGCAGCCGCGGACTTTGTTTATTTGCTTGTTTGAGTGGCTCAGAAAGTCACGTGGTACAGTTAAACATGTTCAGCTGCTGCTGGTCTCTGCGCATGACAACTGTAGGCTCTAATTTCCATTTCTGGTGTTACGCAGACTCACTGAAGCTAACCAAGCTAAGCTAACCAGACTAACGAAGCTAAGCTGCTGACGTCAGGTCGGTATGTTTTGATGAAAATCAGCAACCTTCAGAAATCTGTTGACATAATCAGAGGCTGTTTTATGATCTTTTTTCCAGTCCACCAGCCGCCATTTACTGTAATACAGGACTACAGTCTGAATAAACCTCCAGGTCAAATCTAGAAACGAGAATAATTTCCCTTTTTCTCCAGATGTTTCATGTCAGTTGCTCACAGACACGTTTTCTCCTCAGGCTGCAGAAGATTCAGATCTGAAGGTCCAATAACGCAGAAACCATGAAGAAGAAACCGCGGTGTCTAAAGATCTCCTCATCGCCTCAGACAGCAGCCGATGGATGTGAGGAGAGGAAGACAGGAGACAGAGAGATTCTGCTGAACACTGTCCCCTCAACCACAGACAGCTTGTCTCCTGAAAGGACGGCGATGGACACAAACTCATACTTCAGGGTGATAAAAGATGACAAAGAGAAAGATCCAGAGAGCAAGTCCAGATGTTCAGGTGAGTTCAACCTGACCTCAGACCTACCTGCAACAGTTGTATAGATTAGGATTTATGCAACAAACCATCTTTTCCTTCAGCGGTCAGACGGTCCCAGCTCCAATCCAACAGGAAACAACCTGCGTCTGATTTCCGCTGTTTTGTCTCCCAGCAGGAAGGACGACCAGCGCCGTCTGTCGTCTCTGCCATGGAAAGTTCTCCCCTCGCAGTCTGAGGCATGCCTTCAGCAGGTGGCCTCCGGGGCCACTGCGGGCCCTGGACCTGGCCACCCCGTCACCCCTTTTGGACCCGGCCGCCCCATCACTCCTCCCATTCCATTTGGACTTCCAGCGTCTGGTCGGGGTCCGGTTGGACCGGGATGCGCGGCTCTCAGACTTCATCTGCAAAAGGTGCCACACCAAGTTCTACAAGTGCCACAGCATCCTGCGACGGTTCCTGCAGAGGGTCAACCTGCCGGCGCTCGGAACCGGGAACCGGTGAGACGGCTAGCGCGTCTCTAGAGGTCCAATTCACAGAGAGAAGTTCCAAACCTGAAGCGGGTTTGTTTGTTTCCAGGAGGAACCTGAAGGGTCCGAATGCGCCAGCAAACGACTCACCAGGAAGTAAAGAGACTCAGAGGTTCTGGTTCTGGTCCAGCTGCTGCCTGGTGTCGTCACCGTTGTCTCTCTTCCTTCAGAATCGCCGTGCTTCCCGTCTTCAGAACCGCCGTGGTTCACCTCCGACCCAAAGTGCCTCCGCAGCCTGGTGGGCTGGGCGCACCGCCACGGCGAGGCCTGCACTTCCTGCCCTGACCTGAAGGAGGTGCTGGAGGGGCGGTGCGGGGGCTCCCTGAGGGCCGTGTGGGGCTGCGCCGATGGCCACCGTTACATCATGGACTCTCAGAACGCCGCTGCCAGTTACCTGGGAGACCAGGTGGGCTACTGGGGCGGAGCCTCGTGGAGGCGGAGCAACGAAGAGGATGGAGGCGAGAAGGTTCTGGATGGACGGATGGACCCAGGAACCCAAAAGAACCAGGACGACTGGGCCGAAGGTGAGAACATCATCAAACCTGCAGGAGGTCGGGCTGAGTGGTTCTGACCTGCTAGGCTTACTGGGAACTGAGTCCGGTCTGGTTGGTTCTTCCAGGCTTTCCTGAGGAGGCGACATTGCCGGCACCGGGCCCGCTCCAGGACCGGACCGCTGACAGCGATCTGTCGGACAGGTGAGTCTCTTTGGTCCTGTCCAGGTCTACCAGACCGAACCTTTTGGACCAGTCAGACTGATGTGGTTCTGTGGTTTCAGGGCAATCTCTGAGGATGAGCTCCAGGAGAACCGGGGCAGGTCCGATGAGGAGATGTTTGACCCGGCCCAGAACCAGAGGCACGCTGGCGCAGAACTTTTCCCAATTCATAAAAACGTGTTTTAGAAACTGGACCTGAGTTCTGGACTCCTGGTGCTGGTCCACAGTAGAACTAAGGTTCTGACCCGATGTTCTGACTGTCCTCTCCTCCAGAACCTCTAGGCTCAGCAAAACCCGGAGGAGGCAGAACCCAAAAACCTCGGAGGAACCCAGAGTCCGAAAGAAACCCGGACCCAAACCGGGCTGGAAGAACCAGTTCCGGCCCAAAGGGTGCATAGAGGTTCCAGAAACCATCATTGGTCCTGACCGGTTTGGTTCTGACCCATTTGGTTCTGCTGTTTTTAAGGGAGGAGCTTCCCAACATCTACAAGTGTCCGTACCAGGGCTGCACCGCCGTCTACCGAGCGCCTGACGGGTTAAAGGTCAGAACCGTTCGTCTGGTTCTGGTCCAGAGCCTCAGCCTGTTCGGACCTGGTTCTTATAATGGTTCCGACCCGCTGCTCTTGTTCCCCTCAGAAACACATCAAGGAGCATCATGAGGACATGAGGGAGCGGCCGTGCCCCCATCCCGGCTGCAACAAGGTGTTCATGATCGACCGCTACCTGCAGAGGCACATCAAGCTCATCCACACAGGTGAGGCCAGAACTTTCTTCTGGTGGTGGTTCTGGAGTGCAGCTGGTATCAGCCGTCGTCATGGCGATAGCTGTTTGTGTCAGTCGTCATGGCAACGGCTCCATTAGGCTGCTGTACTTTAACCAGCTAACCCTTCCAGGCCTTAATTATTCAGATGTAATATTTTTATAGCTTTTCCACTTTGTTGTTTTCTGTCCTGCTGATTGAAACGGTTTCTTCCAGAGGAGAGGAACTACATCTGTGATCAGTGCGGTCAGACCTTCAAGCAGCGGAAACACCTGTCGGTTCATCAGATGAGACATTCAGGAGCCAAACCGCTGCAGTAAGTCCTGGTGGTGGCGCTATAATACACCTTAGGAATACAATATCTGGACTTTACCTGTCACATCATCCATCCTCATGTTTTTGGGACCTCTGTAGAAATATGGCACATGGATTCAAGATGAACTATTGTTAAAGTCTGAAATTTTAAAATTAAAACCATGTAAAAAAAAACAAAAAAAACTAGTTAAATTATTACATTTCTAAAACAACCAGAAAGAAATAAGGAGGTAATTAACATTGTTTAATTTATTGGTAGGAAGCATTTAGATCAAAATCAATTTTTCTGCTGCTGATAAAACAGATTCATAGCTACATATAGTTTTATTTCCTGTTATTTTAATTTGACTTAATAAAATAACAGGATAAAATAAGTAAAATAATAAACAGGAACAATTTAATTGTAGTTTTTAAGAGTTTATTTAACAAGCTGATGTCCGCTGCTCAACACTGCATTACCTTAATCAAACAGATGGTGGCGCTCCTTTAGTCTCCCCACTACCAGTCTTGATGTCTGACCCAGTACCAACCAGAACCAGAACCTGACCCAATCCCTGTCCTGCAGGTGTGAGGTGTGCGGCTTCCAGTGTCGCCAGCGGGCGTCCCTCAAGTATCACATGACCAAGCACAAAGCCGAGTCCGACCTGGCCTTCGAGTGCCGGACCTGCCGCAAGCGCTTCGAGAAGCCGCACAACCTCAACGTACACATGTCCATGGTCCACCCGCCGGTTCTGGCCGAGGCCCGGCAGGCCGGCCCGGTTCACCTGCAGACCATCGGTCTCACCGGAGAGCTGGTTACGCAGGACCAGGACAGATGACGGCCGGTCTGGAGTCCGGAGGAGCCGGTACCGTCCGGGTCCACTCCGGAGGAGCCTGCAGCTGGACGCAGTTTTTCACAAGGTTCTTCAGACAGGCTACAACAGAACCAGGAAACAGAACCAGGAAGCGGAACCCAGCCGGGTTCATCTGAATCTCAGTGTAGAAGCAACAGATCACTATTTAATCCCACCGATTACGATGGGATCAACAGAGAAGCGACTTTCTGGATTACGGCTCCAACATTTAGAAATACAGCTGCAGCCCTTATTACCATTTCATAACGCTTTATTTTGAAGGTCTGTTTTTTTTCAGCTCTGTCCAACATTTTTGTGGCGCATCAGTTAAACCAGATTTCTAAATCCTGACGGTTTTCTATTTATTTGTTACACTCCATGACTGTTGAAGTTGTTTGTTCAGATTTCTCTGGATTATTTGGGTTTTAAAGCCCAGAACTCAGTTCAGTTTGATCAGATATTAATGTTCAGATGAACAGGTTGTGGAGTTCCTGTTTCAGCCACCAGAGGGCGCTGGAGTTCAGCAATGTGAAGCTACAGCAGCACTTAAGTCTTTGGTTCTGGAACCGCTCCTATTATTCCAGAACCAAGTTTCTAACAATTGGGCTGCTGGTCGGACAATGAAATATTTAAAAGCTGATTTTTGCAGTTGATGCACCAGGTGGTGCTGTACTTCCTGTCAGCAGCAGGAAGGAGAAGAAGAAGAAACTTATTTTATTTTCTTTAGGATTCATGTTTCCACAGAAAAACCTGAAAATAGTAAGTTTTTATGAAACCGAGTCGACTGTTTGACATGCAGTATCAGGTCAGCTGGTTCTGGTTCCGGTCTGCTAGAGGAAGGCCACCCTAGGATGGTCCAGGTGAACTGAAAGAGTTGCAGCCAGTTCTGGGTCAAGGTCCACACAGTGAGTCTCCAACTGGACCAGAACCGAGACAAGAGGAAAAGGAGGTCAGTGGGGAGGGGGGCGGGCGGCAGGTGAGCCGGGCCGGGCCAGGTCAGGTCAGGGGGTTACCTGTCTCCACTGGCTGCAGCTCAGGGCGGCTGCTGGCGCCTGCCGGATCAAACTCAGGACAAACTGCTTGGTGCAGTCCAGAACCCGGGTGGGTTCCACCTGCAGAACCGGATCACAGTTAAGAGTTGGTTCTGGTGGTTCTGTGTCCAGAGAGAACCTCGTTCACCTGGTGCGCCGAGGCGGGAGCCTCTCCGTCCAGGAAGAGCCGCAGCGCTGCCAGGTACCACAGGGTGGCGCTGTGGAGGAACCCAGGGCAACGCAGCGCCCTCTGGTGGAAGGCGGTGCTTTGCTGCTGCAACAAACTGAGAACATGGAGGAGAAAAACACTGAGAAAAGCAAAGAGACCCTTACAATCAGTTTGCATGTCGAAACGTTTCAAAGTTCAATTTTTTACGCCGATTCAGGAGGAAGGAAAGGAGATAAAGAGCCCGGTTCCCCAGCAGAACCGAACCGCAGCAGGAAGCTGGTCGGTTTACCTGCAGACCGCCCAGGGCATCAACCGGCTGCAATCATCAGAGACCGTCAGGGTGACCGGATCCGGTTCCAGGTCCGGTTCTGGAGAACAGCAATAGCACAGATCTTTAGGCTACAGAACATCCAGAACCAGAGATCCGGAGCAGCCGGGGTAAACGGTACCGTTGGACCTGAAGAGCAGCAGCCAATCAGCTGAGTTCACCACAACCGCCAGAAGTTCTGAGCAGAACCATATGGACCTTCCAGAACTTTCCTCCTGCAGAGAGAAACCAACGTTCCAGAATGATTCAGTAGACCAGACCGTTGGTTCTGTTGGACCGGACCCACCTGAGGATCCAGAAGTTCTGACAGGAAGTCCATCACGAAAAGAAAGAGCAGAGAAGCCAGAACCTGGAGGGCAAAGAGAAGCTTCAGAACCGACCCAATTACAACAAACTGATCAGAACCTGGAAGGGAAAGGAGAACTGACCCAATCAGAACCTGGTTTGACTCTCACCTGCTGGTTCTCAGTCTCTCTCAGTCTGTTCAGAACCTCTCTGAAGTTCTGCTGGTGTTCCGTCCCGCCTCTGAAGGCGCCATGCAGGCTGGCGGCTTGGACCAGAACCGGACCTGGAGGGATCTGGACCAGAACCGGACCTGCTCGCAGACTGCAAAAGACAACAGAATACTGCTGAGCCCGGTCCATTTAGACCAGTCTTTCTCAAACTGTGAACCGCGGGCGCCCCTAGTGGTCAACAAGGTACTGCATGTAAACGACCGTTAATTTGCCGTGACGTCAGCTGAAAGTGCGACGCTACAGCTAGCTTACTGCAGTGAAAAACAATAATGGATAAGTGGCTTAAGACCGGCTGACTCAAAAGAAAAGCTGAAGATATGCTGGAAAGAAAACAAGTCCAGGAGTATTTCTGATCGGAAGAAGCCGAGTTACACCTGCTGAGAGTTTTGATGTGTCGTTCATGAGCGACTCGATTCTTTTGAACGGCTCTATTCCGGGAAATGTAGGACTCAAGTCTGTTAGCGAGAACTGTTCTTTATTTTTCTTATGACCTTGCTATTATTACATTCATTATTTTATTTAATTAAAATAGTTAACATTAATTAAAAACAATAGATAAATAAGTGGGTGTATATTTTTATGTTTAATGGTGCAGAAGAGGATTTTTGTTTCTGCCAAAGCAAATCTAGTCTATTTTTCTTTAATTCTGCTTCTAAATTACAAAAAGGCCTAAATGTTATGCATACAGCACTTGGTAGTATAGAACTTCTTTTTTACTTTCCATATGTTTGACAAAATTTGAAAGCTTAGAAACCACCCGTTTCACAATAAAAATAACTCAAAACGTCCTGAGGAGAATTATTCATGACAATAAATGAGTTACTGTCCTGAACAAACATTTAGGGTTAGGCGTTTGTTAACGGGTTAAGCGATCCTCTGCCTGAAAAAGTTTGAGAAGTTCTGGTCAGATTGTTCAGAAAACGTTCCTGCATGGTTCTGGTATCTGTGGTCTTGGCAGGTCGGGAGGGGGGAGGGGGGGGGAACAGGGTTCTGGGTCGTGTTGGGTTCTACCTGCAGGCCCAGAGCCGGCAGGCTGAGAGGAGCTGCAGCTGCTCTGGAAAAGGTTCTGCATCCTGGAGGCGGGTCCAGAGTGAAACCAGAACCGGAGAAAGCTGCTGCCACCAACGCTAGAGAGGGAGAAAAAAAGATATTGATTTTTAATAATTCATTTATTTTTCAATAAGTGACATAGTATCACAGCATGTGTAACAGAAAATAGAACTGAAATCAAAGAAACATAATAAAATAATAAATTACATTCGCATCCGTCCAAAAACTTGCTCTTCTACCACACTACAAATTACTTCTCCCTAACTCCAGATGTGACAAAATGAATCCAAGTCTGAGACTGATCTATAAAAATTTAATTCAATAGCCTAGACTTCACCATGTTAATAAAGAAACCACATCAATATTCAACTCTTCGTCGGCTTTACATAGACAGTGTGAAAGAAAAATAAAAAGAAGTTAATAACTAGATGAAAAGAGAAACTGGAGGATCAACACACATCAACCGATGCCACATGGCGGAAGAAACTGAATTATTAATAACAAGAACTTGTCCTCTATATGACATTTTAGGTAAAACCCACTTACATTTCAAAAGTCGACCCTTAACATTATCTAAAACATTTTCCCAATTTTTTTGCACAAAAATTTCACTACCTAAAAAGACCCCTAAATACTTGAGCCCACCTTTTCTCCACACTAGGCCTCCAGGCAGACTGAGTTGATCCCCCAGCCGACTCCCAACAGCGATAGCCTCACTCTTTCTCCAGTTTATTTTAGCAGAAGAAATGCAGCCAAAAAGAAAAACAGTGTTGACCAAAATATCTTCCTGCTCGTTTACAAAAACCATTACATCATCAGCATAAGCTGACAACTTTAAGGAGACACCCAGGAATAGAAACACCACACAAATCTTTCCTCAGCTTATGAAGCAAAGGTTCAAATGCCAAGGAATAAAGCATCCCTGACAAAGAACAGCCTTGCCTCACTCCTCTTAAAACATTGAATGGAGCACTTAAGCCTCCATTTATTTTAAGTACACTCGCAATGCCACAATACAAAACCTGGATCATAGCTTTGAAACCAGGGCTGAAACCAAAAGCAGTCAAAGTTTGCCACAAATATTGGTGTTCAACCTGGTCAAAAGCTTTTTCTTGGTCTATAGAAATCAGACCAATATCTAAGCCCAATGAGCTGGAGATTTCCAAAACATCTCTGATTAAAGTGACATTATCGGCCTGCCAGGCACACAGTATGTCTGGTCCCTGTGAATGACTGAAGACATCACTTCTCTAAGTCTGGTAGCCAGGACTTTGGAAAAGATCTTGTAATCCGTGCAGAGCAAAGAGACTGGTCGCCAGTTCCTTAGATCCTGTAAATCTCCTTTCTTTGGAAGCAGAGTAACGACTGCCCGTCTGCAGCTCAGAGGCAGCCGACCTCTCTGCAGGCCATCTGTGATCACCTCCAACAAGTCCTCTCTGATCACAGACCTGAAGGACTTGTAGAAATCAACAGGAAGACCATCCATGCCAGGGGCTCTACCACTCTTTAGGCTCATCAAGGCAGAGTGAAAACTGTAGAAACCATCGCTCACATCCGGATTCTCCAAATGTTCACTCTTAAAAAGATCTTTGTAGAAACTGACAGCAAACTTCCTGATCTCAGAAGAACCTGAGATGGTAGAACCACAGTCAGTCTTTAGGGAGTGAACAATCTTCCTTTGCCCATTCTTTTTTTCTAGTCCAAAGAAAAAGTGAGACGGGGCATCCATCTCCGATAAACTCAGGGAACGTGATCTGACCAAGGCTCCTTTGGCTGCTGTGCCCAACAGGTTGGCCAGAACGGCGTTTTTATCTTTGAGGGAAGTTAAAAACCCTCGGTTTCCTGTAGACGCCGCCAAACCCTGCAGCTCTACTATCTGAGACTCCAAGTCCCTCATAGATCTGGTTATGTCTCTAGTGACATTGCGAGTAAACTGTTGACACAACTGCTTAGCTTGACATTTTACCATAATCCCACCACTGTTTGACACAAGAAAAATCTGATTTAGATTGTTTATGACTGACCCAGAAATATTCAAAAGAGCTGTATTAAAATGCCAATAGACCCTCTGTATACGGACATTTTTAATAAACACAGAGCAACAAACCAGACAGTGATCAGAAAAACCAACAGGAATTATTTGACAATTTTTAAATATATTCAAATGATGTTTAAAAGCATATATACGATCCAATCTTGCCAAGGATAAAAGATTATCTTTAGAATGAGTCCATGTATACTGTCTGATTCCTGTTGAAATCTCTCCACACATCTGAAAGGTCAGAGGTCGCAGGCTGCTGCCTGAGCCTCCGAGAGGATTCAGCATGAGGTTCTAGGTGGTTCCTATCAAGTAACGGATTTTCAGTGCAATTAAAATCTCCACACAAAAACAAATAATCATTATTATCACTACAGTCATTTACAATGTCACCTAAAGTATCAATAATACCATTCTATCAACCCCTTTAGTTGGTGCATACACATTAAGAAAAACTATATTCACATTTTCATATTTGGCTTTAACTTTTAATAAGTGACCTTCCTCTGCTTCACAAGAAACAGGCAAAAAATTCCTAGAAAACACAATCCCAACACCGCCACTGCAACTGGACTTGTGGCTAAAAAACCCCTAACCCTCCACATTCCTTCTTCCAATCACACTCATTATCAGCAGTGCTGCGTGTCCCCTGAATTAACATTATATCAATGTTCTTTAGCTCCATAAGTCTTAAAAACTCAGCCCTGTTCACTTCATCTCTGGCACCATTTAAATTTAAAGTGCCTATTTTAAAATCACATATTGAAAAGAAGAAACAAAAGAAAAGACACAAAGACATGTAAAATATTTCTCTAAATGTCCTCATCTTCATCAGTAGTGAGTGTTTGGGTTCTGACTTTCAAAATCAGTTTCTTTAAGCAAGAGTGATCTGTTAACACATCATCAACAAAATGTCCAGTTTTCTTTGTTAAAACCTGAGAGGATTCAACAAACAATTTTAAATCTGGAAAATATTCTTCTACTTTAATCATCCTGAGTCCTTTAGTTTTTTGCAAAAACTTCTTCATTTCTGAGAGCTTTAGTGCTGCTGTTGGCAGGTTCAGAACTTTTCCTTTTCTGAGACAGTTTCAACAAATTGTCATCAAGCATGCCCTCATCCTCACAAAAGCTTTCACAAAAAACTCCATCAGTTCTTTTTTACCCTGAATCTGCATCGAAACTACTGACAGATTGATCATGTTTCATCTCACCATCAGTGGTATCAACTTCATTAAAGCAATCACAAGTTATAAAGGATCGCACCTCAGCCTGTTCCTCTGCAGTTACAACAGAAGGATCACCAGGAACCCCGGCTCCAGTAGCATCAAGACCCGCACCGACTACCGTGAAACCCACCAGCGGCCCACTTTGGCGGCACCGGCACCATCACCACATTCAGCAACTGTGTATTCTTGATCTTTTCTTGGCACGATCAAATTATATGACCTTCTGCACCACAACCAAAACATTTCATATTCTCAGAAGCGGCAAAAACCATATAATTAAACCCATTAACTTTGAAATTAAAGGACAGGTTGAGCTCATTAGCTGTATGCCAGGGGCATGGCATAGAGGGGGGTAAAGGGATGACAATTCTAGGGCCCCTGACCAACAGGGGGCCCTCCACAATTTATTTATTGTTCATAGAAAAAAAAAATCTGGGGCCCTGTCAATTCCAAAATTAATCATATTGTATTTTTGGAGATTGTTTTTAGCAATAAAAATTTAATGTTCCCACTCCCAGACCAAAAAACACACATCCATATTTGCCGTGCCCCCCCTGCATGAAATGGTTCGTTCCTGCTTGGAGCGCTTCACCGTGACGCTGTTAGCAGCGGTCAGTGGAAGACACGAACGACTGTGGCAGTTACTATGCTGCTAAGAAAAGTTAGAAAACCAGGTTTTCAAAAAATAAAAAAAGTAGAGAGGGAGAGAGAGAGAGAAAAAAAGGTCAAGAGTGTCAATTTATAGCTGTTTTTCTCCGAGAGGTGGGTAGACTGTATGAGATTATCAACCATTTAGCATAGTTAGCTTAGCTACAGACTACTGATTACCTCCATTTCACTAGCATTTAATGAATTAAGGAAAAAATAGCAACATATTCATATATTTAACTGGTACCTGTACCTTTTACCACTTAACAACAGATGAGTCAGTCAGCAGCAGCTCTAACCCACATCCCTCCTGACCTGCCCTCTCCTGGGTGAAATTAAAGCTGCAGTATGTCACTTTTATAAAAAATATTTTTTTCCACATATTTGTTAAAACTGTCATTATGTTGTGACATTATGGTATGAGAGGTAATCTGTGAAAAATCTATTTCCTCTGCCTTCTCCCAGTGCTCTCTAGAAACAACCAGTCAGTGCCAGGAGAGGTTTAGTGCTGTCAATCACAATCTCATATGGTGCTGCTCATCCACCCTGCCCTTTCCTCTGTGCTATTCTGTAGCTAGCATAGCCTGTTGTAAATGCTTAATCTAGTTAGCATAGCTACCGGTGATAGCAGATAAACGATTTTCCTGTAACAATAAGTTGTTTCTCCACTATTAGAACATTTAGCAGTGAGTGAATGAGGGTGATTGACAGCGCCAAAACCCCCCTCCTGGTTCTGATTGGTTGTTTTGGTCAGAACGGTGCATTACTTAAATATTGTACTAGTTATCAGTATTGGATCAAAGAAAGCAAGGCAGTTGCAAGCCTTTGAAATTGTGACGCTTTTTATGGGTCAGATAGGCTCAAGAAATTGTAACAGCAGCTGCGTAAGGGGGGGCCCAATTTAATTTTTTGTCCAGGGGCCCAAGATTTCTGGCAGCGCCCCTGGCTGTATCCATAAGGATCATAAAAACCTGCTTTCTGTGACACACGACATGTTTAAGAAGCACAGATTTACAACCTAAAGAAACCATCTTTATGGGTGAAACTAGCTGTCCATAGCGTGACAACTCCTTAACAAGGGGATCGTTTTTAATAAACGGGGTGCTTTTGAGATGATGATCTTTTTAGCTGGACTAACCAAAAGGAGAACCGCTGTGAAAGTGTCATGAATGACGACGCCCCTTTCAACCAGATCATTCACTTTGGATGTATTATCAAGAAAGATCACAATCGCTCCATTCATACGGGAAGCAGATTTCACACCATCACAACCTACCGCTCCTAAAGCTGCCTCTTCTACTGAACAATTCACTGTTGGTATGAGTTTGACAGCATGACGGCGTGTCAACTTTTCAAACTCTGCACCGCCCTCCACAACGGGCATGATGCCAACCGCCAAACCAAACCGGTAGCAAAAAGCTACCAGACCAGTCTGGCACAACCAAACCAACTTAAAGATCAAGTAACTGTATGAAGAAAAAAGTGTTTGAAACACCTTGCAGAAAAAGGTAGAAAGACTCAAAAGTCCAGTCAAGCTGACTCCCGTCTCCATGTCCATTCACTCAGAGAGAGACAGGAAGAGAGAGAGAGATTGATTTTGATTTTTAAAAACTAATTCATTCACTCAGTAGTGATCCATAGGAACAATGAACACAACTTCAAATTAACACGTCCATAAATGAAAGTTCAGAATTATTCAAAGTAAATAAAACAGCTTCATAATCCTAAATATTCTGAGAAATATTTAGTTTGTCCATTTTTAGATAATATTTATATTCTAACATCAGTCTTGCTCTAACCATACTGTTAAAGACCTTTTCTCAATCAGTACTCTGTTCATTATTAATTTTAAAATTTCTACTCAAATAAATTGCAAGCTTTGCCTGACCAAGAAAAAAAAATTAACAACCATCCAATTTTCTTCTGTCTTTTGTCACATAAAAAAACAAAAATAAAAGACTGTTCTGTGAAACTTTCTCCAAATGATTTCCAAATATCTCTTAGTAATGTAAGTAAATATATTATTCTAAAACATTGTACAAAACAATAAAATAGTTTCTCTTAATAAATAAAAAGGGCATTTATCTGAAACAGCAGGGTTAATAACAGAAACAAAAGCATAGACATGTATAACTTGATCAATCACTTGTCTCAATCTGCATGCCAGAACCTTTGAGAAGATCCTGTAGTTAGTACACAATAGACTGACAGGTCTCCAATTCCTTAATTCATACAGATCATCCTTCTTAATGAGCATAGCCCTGCGGCAGCTAAGGGGTAACATCCCTCTTGCCACACTGTTATTGAGGATCCATCAGATCTTCAGCCAACACAGACCAACACGGTTTATAAAACTCCACAGGCAAGCTGTCTATTCCTGGAGCTTTGTCATTTTCCATGCTCAGCAACGCCTCCTGCAGTTCTTCCAACATTAGAGCATGCTCCAAAATTACATTGTCTTGGTCTGACACCGTTTACAAGTCAGTGAGAAACTCTTCTGTCATCACACAGTCTTTCTCTGAACTCACTGGCATATAACGTTGAAAAAAGTCCACAGCTCTTTTCCGCAGTTCAGAACGAACGCAATGAATGAGACGATTTTGTCCATTTTTCTTCTCCAAACTGAAGAATTTTGAGGGAGCATCCATTTCAGATACTCTGAAAACGTGAACGTACCAGAGCTCCCAGCGCTCTGAGCCCAACAGATCAGCCAAAGCAGCTTTTTTTCTTTTGAGTGCCTGAAAATGGCCTCGATTTCCTGTGGACTCGCAAAAAACTCTGAATCAGGAGATTCTCTATCAGAACCAGATAAAGCCTCTGAATCACTTTCTTTTCCACTCTACTTTTAACTGAGTCTTTTTAGGTTTTACCCTTTTAGTCTTTAGATTTTCTTTTAGTGTTTGGTACTTTAAAAACATTTTCATCATCCCTGATCAGATTCCCTCCACTATGAACCGTAAAACATCCATTTCTTCTTGTAACCCTTCTTGTGTAGTCGTTGGACTCTCTTTACTCTCTTCAGCAGAAGTAATGACATCCTCAATGTCACGTTCTGAAACATTCGACTGCTTTTGCTCTCCTGTTGAAACTCCGTCCCCACTGGCTGCCACCGGTTCTCCGTCCCCAGCTGCGCCCGCTGTAGCTCCATTCACAGGACCCGCTGATGTCCCTGGCTCTGGGTTTTCATTAACCTGAACTGTCTCTTTTTGAACCTTTTCAGGGTAATTACGAACCGAATGGCCCTCCTGGTTACATCCAAAACACCTCATAGTTTCCACTGTTGGAAAAATAGGGTAATCAAAGCCGTCAACTTTAAATTTCATCACTATGCTCAGTTCCTCAATATAATTTTTGAGAATCATAAACCCTTGTCTTCTAAATGAAACGACGTGTTTCAGCTTTGCTGATTTGCATCCCGACGGAGCGTTTTCTGACCACGATGTGACAATTCCTTCAGCAACACATCGTCGCTGATGAAAGGTGGCAAATTAGACAGGATGATCTTTTTAGCAGGGTTCATTAAAGGGAAAACAGAAGTTTGCGTATTTCTCAAAACAATTTCCCTCTCAACTACGCTGTTCACCTTATCAATCAAGTCCAAAAACATAACCACTGCATTATTCATCCTGGACGCCGCCTTCACACTTTCACACCCAACAAGTTCCCAACAGCCAAACCTACTCCTCAACCGCAAAATCCACGCCAACTGGTATTTTAATAACAAGTCGACGTGAAAGGCTTCTAATGCGTGCAGCACTGTAACTTTTCCCGGCCATCGCACCGAGCTAAAAGCTCGGTGCGATGGCCGGGAAAAGACACTATTGAAACACCAGTGGAAACAGATCGTGGTAAAGTGCAAAACAAGTGAATCACCACTGTAAAAGGTGAAGTTCAAACCTTTAGAAAACCTCACACTCGTTCTCCTCCCACTCCACACATGCAGCAGACACTCACATGCACTCAAGAGAGGGAGAGAGACAGAGGGGGGAGAGAGAGGGAGAGAAAACCTGTTGGTCAGGAGGAATTACTACAAAGCAAAGCGTACCACTGCAGAGACGAGGAGGAGAGGACAGGAGGCGCTCATCAGGGACCAGACCCGGTCCACTTCTGCTGCTGGACGTCCACACCGTCCCGCAGCAAAGAGCAGGCCCTGCAGAGATGGAGCAGGTTCTGGTTCTGGTTCTGGTTCCTGCAGGACCTTCAGGCTTGGAGCAGTGACTCACCTTCAAGAGATGAACTGTCACCGCGCAGGGCAACACGCCGGCTGGAGGACACGCCTTCCTCTGAGGAAGTTGGAGATGGAAGCTGAAGCAGTGGCGGCTAACTATCAGCTAACCTGCAACTAACCTACAGCTTACCTGCAGCTAACTCTCAGCTAGCTTGTAGCTAAATGGCTGCTAGCCTGCAGCTTACCTGGGGCTGTGTGATGTGCTGCAGCAGCTGGCTACAGTCTACAATGCTCCGCCCTGCTTCAGCCTTTATTTTGAAGAACATCACAGGTGGCAGCACCAGGAGCACCCTGACACACAAACACACCCAGCATTGAGTCACAAACCAGTATCACCTGTCTGCAGGTGTCACCTGGGCAGAGCAGCACCTGTTCCAGGCCTCTATGTTTCTCTGTAGGCCGAGCCTGGAGGAGACGCTGCCAGAGGAGGTGGAGCATCTCTCAGACACGACCTGGAGCAGGAAGTCCCCCAGACCCACCTGGCGACCCCAGAGGTCACCGACCTCTGCCTCGTAGACCAGCTCCTGAAGGCGAAACCAGCAGAACCATCAAAACCAGCAGAACCAGGAAGTAACTGGTGGTGAATGTTTCTTTATAAGGTGAAAATCCTGCATGTCAGCGTTTTGTGAAAGATTAACGGTTTTGTAATTTTGCTGATGTGAGTTGATTTGGAGTTTTGTACTGTTATTCGTTGACCGGAGCCGTTTTCTGACATATCTTCAGTGATAACAGAAACATGCATGCATAGAAGAAGGAACCTGCTATGTGAAAATGTGTAATCTTTGTTTTCCAGAGCTCCGTTCTGTAGAAGCTCTATCAGTAAACTCTCCTTTGCTGCAAACAATGAATTCAGTTTGTCTCTTCAGCGTTTATTTATGTTACTGGCAGATATTACTGATGGAGGTTCTGATCCTGTGGGAACCGACTGCAGCGCTTCGTCTTCAGAGACGTAGATATTTACCATGTAGACAGACACACTGGATAGAAATATTTTTCAGGCCAGAAACTTTGTTAAATCAACATTTTTTCAGGTTTTCACAGTTGAAGCTCCTCTGAGCAGCCTGGCGTTCTCCTGTGAGCATCGTTAGCCGAGTTGCTCACCTGTAATCTGGACAGCAGATCCGGCAAACAGGTTCCAGTTCCAGACGATCCTGGAGAAAAGTCCAGGTTTTCCAGGTTCATCTCCCTACTAACATCAAATAAATTAATGGCAAATAGAACAATCAAATTACTGAAGAAACATTATAAAATATGCACATCTTTCATTTTTGTTCATTTTGAGCGTTGCAACTTGAACCCTAAGCAAACGTCTCATGAAACCAACAAGCTGCCAATATTCACTAGAATGTAGAAATTTTATCTGATGTTTCAGACTCAAACTGGAAGCTTCAGGAACTCCAATAATTCATTGCTGCTTTGTTTGAATCCCAGAATGACGTCCAGATGTTTCATCTCTAAGTTTATCTTTATTCATCTAGATCAGTGGTCCCCAAAGTGGGTCCTGGAGGCCCAGTTCTAGTTCCCTCCCTGGTGGTAGTAACAACCTTTTCAGCTTGTCAATGTTCTTCTAATGAGCCACCATTTGATCCAGGTGCGTTAAACCAGGGAGAGAACTAAAACATGCAGGATGCCGGGCCTCCAGGACCCACTTTGGGTACCACTGATCTGGAGCTTCAGGTCCATTTCTAATTCCAAAAAACAATAAAAAAAATATTTTGCAACATTTAAAACCAAAAGCAGAAAAAACATAGCAGGCCATTGACTATTTCAGGTTCAGGTTTGTGACGAGTCATCAGAGAAGGTCATCAGAGTGTTGCTGGCACCTGGGCGGCGGCTCCATGATGGCGGTCAGCAGACGTGAGCAGAGCGCCCTGGGGTCGCCGCCACAGCCTCCCTGCTCCTCTGGCCGGGGCAGATAAAGCTCCCAGCAGGCCCACTGCTGGTACTCCTGCCTGCAGGGAGACGGACAGCAGAGCTGCACTCAGAGCCGCTGCTAACGTTTTCACCTGCCTCAGTGCTAACCGCTGGTTTCCGTGGCGATTATGTGTGAAGCTGCAGCACCGTGCATTCAGAGGTTTCTGAGGCATTCCAGGAAATTATTAGAAATTACTGATGCAAATTACTGATGCAAATAATTTAAAGACAGAAATAAAACTTTACAATAATAAACCAAACTCTTTGTTTTAGCTAAAGATCAAACCGTGAACCTGATGGTCAAATTAATCGATATAAATCAATAATTGGGAAATGAACTAAATACAGTAAACAGAAACATTTGTGTGTCTATCAAACAGAAATAGTTTAGTTTCAAAAGTGAGAAGAAAACAGTTAGTATTTTCTTTTAACTGAAGCTGTTTGCATGGCGTTCAGACCAGAGATATTCAAGTTTAAAGTAATTTTTAAAAGTAATATTAATGCTGTGGAGCTGTCCAGTTCAAGTCCAGCCCTGGTTCTGGTGGAGGTCGCTACAGATTAGGGTGATGGTAAGGAGGCCTTCAATCAGGAACCAGGAATCTTTTCTGATGAAGGTTTTTAACGTGATTACCGAGATCAAAATAATTTACAACAAATTTTTTGCTGAAATGTGAATAAAAACTGAATTGAATTGTTTCCACTAGAACTCGCTGTTCACTGATTTCTCATTTCATTATTTGTGAAGAGGAACACTTGTGGAAGATTTTAAGGAGTTTCTAATCTCACCGCTCTGCATCCGACAAAAAGTCCGAGTGTCTCTGGACTCTCAGCTCTTCATGCAGCCACTCTGAAAAACACAACTACACACAAACAGCAGATATTAAACATAATAAAACATTAATAAATCCTTAATAAAGTAATATAACATTACTAAGACCATTAATAAACATTATCCAGTCACAATCAGCAGTTATTTATGACAGCGGTGAAGAAAACTCTCCATCTTCAGATGAATAGCGAGTTAGGCTCAGATTCCCATGAATAAAGTCGATGGACCTGCTGGTTCCGACGGGTCCAAATGCTGCCAGGAAAATGTCCACCACATTATGATACCACCTGGTTGGTGTCACCTGGTTCTGACCTGATCCAGCCTGATCGGACCAGATCACGTCTCTCCAACCCGGTCTGGTTCCGGTCCGGTTCTGCTGCTCCAAGGTTCTACAGGTTCTGCACAACTGGGTCGGAACCAGTGGGTCTCTGAACTTCTGGGCCCAGTCGGCCCGTTCTACTTTGACCTCTGACCTCAGCAAGACATTCTCCTCCAATCAGCTTCTTTGTTCCTTCACCACATGAACAGAGATTATAATCCAGGAGATTAACTGATTCACTGGCAGCAGCTCATCATGTCTGAAACATTGAACCTACTGGTTGGATCCAAACACTGAAAGTGGGAAATCTCTCCAGCTGGGCAAAGAATAACCTGATGATCCAGATTAATCTCACCTGGTACGGCTGCAGCTGCTGCAGCTGCTGGAAGGCAGCGTGTCTCCACAGATGCAGCACCGTCTCCGTCCAGCTGATTCCATCAGTGAAGCTCCACAGCAGAGCACAACCATCTCCAAGATGGCCGCCTGTTGGACCGTCCCCCCCCTGTCCCTCTGGACATATCCTAGCCTCAGGGAACAGCCTTGGGACCAGATACAGGAGCTGGACAGAGAAACAACCACTGATGAAGAACGAGGGAGAGAGAGAGACAGAGAGAGAGAGAGAGACAGACAGAGAGAGAAAGAGACAGACAGAAAGAGAGAGAGAGGGAGAGACAGAGAGAGACAGACAGAAAGAGAGAGAGAGAGACAGACAGAGAGACAGAAAGAGAGAGAGGGAGAGACAGACAGAAAGAGAGAGAGAGGCAGACAGAAAGAGAGACAGACAGAGAGAGAGAGAGAGGGAGAGACAGAGAGAGGCAGACAGAAAGAGAGACAGACAGAGAGAGACAGACAGAAAGAGAGAGAGAGGGAGAGACAGACAGAGAGAGGCAGACAGAAAGAGAGACA